CAACCTTATCAATTTAAAACAACACAAATTTATTATTGTTACAGTTCTGTAGTTCTGAAGTCTGACAAAGGGATCACTGGGCTAAAATCAAGGTTTCAGCAGGACTGCCTTCCCTTCTGGAGGCTCTAGCAGAGAATCTACTTCCTCACTTACTCAGATTGTTGGCCTAATTCACTTCCTTGAGGTTATAACTGAAGTCCTAATTTCTTTGGTGGCTATCAGCTGAAGCTCATTCCTAACTTCTAGAGACAACCCACATTCCTTAGTGCATGGCCCCATTCCTCTGACTTCAAAGCCAGCAGGGGCCTGTTGGGTATCCCCTTACACTTTGATGAGGGGGCACTCAGCTGGCTAACTCCTATCTCTTCTCCCTTTGCATCTCTCTCTGGCTGACTGTTCTGCCTTCCTCTTCTGCTTTGTTTTGTGCTTACATTGGGTCCACCGACATAATCCAGGATTATCTCCTATTTTAAAGTCTGCTAATTAGAAACTTCAATTATATCTGAAAAATCTTTTTTACCATGTAACATATCATATTTACAGGTTCTGGGAATAAGGGAATTGACATATTTAGGGGGTGGCCATATCTTGTCTACCATAATCCTCTGTGTGTTGAGTGCTACAAATAATGTGGTCTTAAATGACATTCACTACAGTTTCTATATGATAGGTATTATTATTATTCCCATTTAACAGATGAGGAAACAGGATGAGACAAGTTAACTGGTGTGCTTAACACTGCACAGCTTGTGAATGGTGGAGGCAGGGTTGGAACACAGGTCACTCTTCCTCCAAATCTTGAATTTTCCCTATTGGCTTACATTATGTAGCTGCCTCACTGTTGGAAAGCTCTTTTGGTGGTTTTTGTTTCACTTGTTGTTGTTATTTTGTTTTTTATCTTTTTTTTTCACGTTTTTGAAAAGGTAATTTATATTCATGGTTTAAAAATAAAAATACATTAAAAGGTATTCAGTTTTCCATCTGCATGGTTGTCCCCACCCCTTCCTCGTTTGATTTGTTTCCCTCTAAAACTTCTGAATGAAAATACAAGCAATCATGAATAGATGTACAGAAATATCTTTACGTTGTAACAAAATCTCTCAAACTACAGCTCAAATCCGTTTTGTCCTTTTGTTGCATTCTCATGACAATGCAACTTTGGAAGAACTAACATCTGTGTTAAGTGACAGATCTTTGGGTCAATCAGTTACCTAAGCAACTGGTGACTCCGCTTACTTTCTAAAGTGCCTTATAATCCTTTTCACCCCATGATGCTCACTTGAATACTCTATACATTATGTAACCTTAATGCCTCAATATTATGTATGTCATCAATTTTATCTGAACATCCCAAAGTCCTGGAATTTTAGGAAGCACAAACATGAGAGAGAGAGAGACAGTGAGAGACAGAGACAGAAGAAGAGAAAGGAGAAGGAGGTAGAGAAAACAGAAAGGAAAATACAAAAGAAGAAAAAGGAGGAGGAGGAAGAAGAAGACAGAGAGTCGGAGGAAGAAAAAGAGGAAGAAGAGGAGAATGTGGATGAGGAGGAAGGAGGAGGAGAAAGAAGAAGAGGAAAGAGGAAGGAGAAGAAGAAGGAGGAGGAGGAAGAGGAAGAAGGAGGAGGAGGAGGAGGAGAAGGAGAAGAAGAAGAAGAAGAAGGAGAAGAAGGAGAAGAAGGAGAAGAAGGAGAAGAAGGAGAAGAAGGAGAAGAAGAAGAAGAAGAAGAAGAAGAAGAAGAAGAAGAAGAAGAAGAACTCCCATAATGTACAGTGAGAAAAAACATACACTTATGAAATATATTTTGTTATTATTCCATATTGTAATGGGGTGATATTTTAGCATAAATAAGCATAATGTCTTATTTATAAATAATCTTTCATAAAATAGACACAGTTATGTATCTTGCAAAAGAACATGGAACTCTTACATAATTAGAAACACTGAAACAGACTACCATATAATCGGGTAGCATATCATATAGCAATAGGCATCGAAAACAAGATGACAAGTTTGGTTTAAACAAAGAATTGAATAAAGCTAGTAACAAAATCAGTATACCAGAAGGAATGATTTTGTTATTCCTACTATGAACATTGTTCTTTAGCTGTAATATAAAAACCTCTTCTTTCCAGCATGTCAGTAGCATACAATATACACTTGCCTTCTAGTGGCACAAAACAGAGCATCCTATTATCTTCTGTTTGTTTTTTGTTTTGTTTTGTTTTTCTATCCTTTAAACCAGTGGTTTTCCAGCTGTGGGCAATGATTCTTTAATGCACTGTAAAATCAGTTTAGTAGTTCATAGCCACTATTTTTAAGTGAAATATAGTAAAAGAGAGAAATGTGAGTCTCAGTAAGAGCAAGTATTGTTTCATTAATCTTACTTTAGTAATGCATGTGTGTGAGTATGTTCATGTTTGTGTATATATTAGATTCAACGTAAAATGGTTTTCTTGCTGTGGGTTATTGTCCCAAAGTTTGATAAATATTGCTTTAAATGATTGGAACCACTGAACAGATGTTATATTTCAGAATACTTATAAATAAATGAATCTCTGCCCGCACCTAAAAACCTTGGCCTTCCTGAACGTATTTTTCTAACTAAAAGGAGATTCCACACTGTCCCTTGGCATTGTAGTCCCCAGTTCCTGGCAATGCTCAGAAAATAGGAAGCATCCAAAGAAAAATTTAAAATCCCATAAAAAATGGGAATGTCTTTTATCTGTGGTGTATGAATATGTGGAGATTTGTAGCGTCTCAAGATTTGGAATTGAGTTTCCTAGTTGTCACTTCCATTGGCATCTTATGGATACAGTAGCTCAGGAGACCCTAGTCAGTGCTGAACATGGCCTGAAAGTTTGCAACTCACATGAAATATTTAACTTCAAGAACCACCAGAGAACTTGATACTTTTGATTGTTGTCATCTTTACATAGTGGTCATCTCCAGAAACGTTTTCTAGATTAGTAGCTTTTAGTCTAATGATAAAGACCGAACAATGAAGAAAGATTGACAGGAATATAAAATGTATGTTTGTGGATACATCTAGGAAAATGCTGATGAAGTAGTGATGGGTAGGTGAAGATTGTCACAGGATGTTTGATGTTGCCAAAGAGAGGATTTTCACATTTGTTACGGGGCAATTATGCCAAGGAAGAGGAAAATGAGAGGGCTAGTTGGAAGGATACAGACAAGAGAGTATTAAGGAGTAATTAAACAACTCAATCCTCAAAGTGGTAATTGAGCTCCTACTATCAATCACTTGATGAATATTCACTCAGTGTGCACTAGGTGGAAGGCACTGTTGGGAATGCAAACATCCTTGCCCTTCCTTTTCCCTCTAGGAACTTTCAACATGGTCAGAAGTGAGTGGGATGATGGGAGCAAACATGATGTGAAATCCTGGTGTGGCCAAGTAGGGCATTATGCTTTAAGCCATTCATGGAAATAGAGGCAGGTACTTCCAGGAGATAGAGTGGGGAAGTTTAGTCTGTAGAGGCCTTTAGATGTTCAGGCTGTGCTGGATTTAATTTAGTGGATGAAAGGAAGATACAAAAGGATTTTGAGATTTAAAAAATGAAATAATGATAACCATGTTTGGGAATGATTATTCTGGAAATGGTGTGTAGGAATTCCGGTTTGGTGGAGGAGCAAGCAATGGCAGGCATACCAGTTAGGAAGCAATTATGGAAATTTAGGCATGAAGAGTAGCACTGTGGTTAGGTACAGAATCTAGGTCCAAATTCGTCTGGGTGTGATTCTAACTGTCCCACTCTGAGCCTTAGTTTTCTCTTCTATGAAAAGAAAAAACTAAAAATACCTGCCTTAAAAGAATACTGTGAAGTTGAAATGAGTTACATGTACAAAGCACTTAGCCCAGTACCTGGCTATAGTAAATGTGTGCACGTTGACTGTTATAGTGTTGTTATTGCTTTTATTACTGCAGTGGTGCACCTGGAAAGGATGGGGTATAAAATACACTGTGAAGAAACAATAATGGTGAATGGCTGTGTAATGTGTGATGAAGGTAGTCAGAGATATCCGCAAGTTTTACCTCCTTGCTAGGTAACAGAGAAATGATGCCATAAGAAATCGTGAAGGCGAGGTGAGACAGGAAGATAATAAGTTGGTAATAAGTTTTGGTATAGAATTAAGCTCGGAGTCAGTGTGAGACATTCTAGTGAAAATGAAGTCAGTTTGAGGCTTGCAGTCATTTGAGGCTTGGAGTCAGTCATTTGAAAATGACTACCAAAAAATTTTAGATGTGACACTGGAGCTCAAGAGAAAGTTTAGGGATGAAATGAAAATTTGAAAAGTCTCAGATATAAGTATAACAATTTTTATCTCTGGTCTGGGCGTGGTGGCTCACACCTGTAATCCCACCACTTTGAGAGGCCAAGGCAGATTGATCACCTGAGGTCAGGAGTTCAAGACCAGCCTGACCAATATGGTGAAACACCCCATCTCTACTAAAATTACAAAAATTAACCGGGCATGGTGGCACATGCCTGTAGTCAGCTACTCAGGAGGCTGAGGCAGGAGAATTGCTTGAACTCAGGAGGTGGAGTTTACAGTGAGCTGAGATCATGCCACTGTACTCCAGCCTGGGCAACAGAGGAGACTCTGTCTCTAAAAAACAAACAAACAAACGAAAATTTATCGCTAAGAAATACATGTAAAATCTCCAAGAAAGAAAGAAGAGAGACAAAAGCAGATAGTTAAGGTTTAATCTGTAGTGCATGATTAGTGGAGGCAGAAGAGCCACAAGAAGAATGATTGAAGGCAAAAAGAGACCTGTTCAAGGCACTGCTGGGAATTCATAAAAAGAACATGCCCTGCTCAATAGAACTTATAGACTCAGGACAGAAGGCATTGTAAAGTATGAAATATGCAATAATGACATTCAATTTAAAAATATAAATTCTCAGTTTCAAAATATACCTTAGTTTGTTGACTAGAAAAGACAGGAAGGCTTCATAAGTATTTTAGCCCTTGAATGATGAGTGACATTTGGAAATACATCAAGGAGCACATTTCAGATGAGAAGAATTATATGATCAAAGGTGAAGAGTTAGAAATGGGCACACCAAGTTTAAGAGAGAGAGAGAGAGAGGAGATCGATCTGACAAGAGTGAAGGAAGATAAGGAAAGGTAAGAGAGGAAAAATGTTCAAATTACCCCCATAGCTAATCTCAAGTCCCAACTGAGGGAGATTTAAAATGTTCAGTCTCATCTTAGCTTTAAAGCTGGATGTTTCATGTCATTTTTTTTCTGACATGCAACTCAACTCCCAGCTTTCTCGGTTAAATGATTGAGAGGACAGTGATGCTATTAACAAGAATAAAGTGATAGAAGAAAATTAGCAGGTTAGGGTGAGGTGATAGGAGGGTAGAAAAGGGATGATGACTTATGTTTGGGACATGTTGAAGTAAAGGTGCCAGTGTGACATCCAAGCACAGATGTTAAACAAGCAGTTAGTTAAATGGGTTTAGAACTCAAAATAGAAGTCTGAGCTGTAGATATAGATTAGGGAGTCATTATCCCATAATAACAGGACAATAATAGCAGTGATGATGACAAATACTTACGAAGTATATACTCTATCTAAGGCATGGTTCTAAGAGTTTTCCAAATAGTAAATCATTTAACCTTCACAACAACCTTATGAAGGAAATGCTATTTGTATCCTCATTTAACCAAAGGACTAAAACCAAGGCTCAGAGAGGTCTCATGCCTGAAGTCACACAAGTGGTATCTATTGGAGACAAGATCCAAACCCAGGCAAGTACAAATCCAAAGTTCATGCTCCTCATTACCACATTAAGAGTGAGTGTTAGTCTTAGAAGTAGAATCACTTACTCTAGCAGAGCACAGTGAAATAGGTCAGCTACCGATCCTTGAAAATACCAATATTTCAGAGGTAAGTGGGAGAAAAGAATCTTTCAGAAGAGACTAAGAGCAATCATAGAGATAGAAGGAAAACTAGGAGTGAGTGATGGCCTTAAAGTCACTAAGGAGAGAATGCCCAAAAAGGGGAGTGGATATTAGCGGCATTAAGAGCTGCAGCCATTGGATTTGACAGTTCAAGGGGCTTTGAATAATGTAGTGGTTAGGACAGGGGACAGCAAATCACAGGCCATGGGCAAAATTGGGCCCGCCATCTGTTTTGGTGTGGCCTCAAGCTAAAAGTGGTCTTCACATTTTTAATGCCTGGAAAAAATCAAAAGAAAATATATTTCATGATGTAAAAGTTATGTGAAACTCAAATTTCAGTGTCTATAAATAAAGTTTTATGGGAACACAGTCACTCTGATACATTTATGTATTGTCTATGACAGCTTTCTTACTACAATGGCAGAGCTGAGCAACAGAGAGCATATGGCACAAAAACCCTAAAATTTTGTCTATTTAGCCCTTTACAGAATAAGTTAGCCAGCCCGTAGGTTAAAGGATTAGCTGTAAAGTCAGACTACCTCAGTTCAAATCCCAACTCTCCCCCGACTACACAATGTGACCTTGAAAAAGTCACCAAATGATCTAATGACCATTGTCGGTAAAATGCAGATTAAAATGGTATTTATCTCATAGGATTCTATTTAGTTAGTTAGTTAGTTATTGTTGAGACAGGGTCTCACTCCGTCACCCAGACTGGAGTGCAGTGGTGTGATCATGGCTCACTGCAGCCTCAACCACCCCAGGTTCAGGTGATCCTCCCACTTCCCTGAGTAGCTGAGGGTACAGATATGTGACACCATGCCTGGCTAATATTATGGAGTTTTGGGGTTTCTGTTTGTTTGTTTGTTTTTGTTTTATTTGTAGAGAGGGGGGTTACATCATGTTGTCCAGGCTGGTCTTGAACTCCTGGGCTCAAGCAATCCACCCACCTTGGCCTCCCAAAGAGTGGGGATTACAGGAATGAGCCACTTATCGAGCCCAACTTCATAGGATTTTTTTGAGGATCAAATAAGACAATTTGTGTAAAGGGCCTAACACAGTGTCTGGTGCATAGTTAGAACTTAATAAATGTCAGCTGCTGTTGACTTTTGATATGGTAGAAATGAAGCCAAATTGCAATAGGTGGCAAAAGGAATTGGAGATGAGGCCTAGACAAATAGAAACTATACTTTTGAAAACTTTCACAGTGGATTTGAGGATGGAGGAGGACGTAACTTTTGGGGGGCCATTTTCAGTTTTAGTGGAGAGATTTGAACTCAGGGAAGGGGAGAAGTGAATGAAGATTGAGCATCTGGGAGGAAAGAAAATGAAACAACAACCTGATGAGGTAGGAAGATCAAGAGTAGAGATCACAGATTAACCTTAGAAGGGAGTAGGAACAATTCTTCCTCAAGAAATAAAATCGAGTTCTATGCAGATATAAGATTTTACGTGGGGTGGGGGAAATTCATATCTCAAAGACTCTTTCCTCTATAAGGTTGGAGACAAGCTTTTCTGTTATGGGGCATGTTGTAGGGGAACTTGATGGAACACTGGCTATGGAACTTTCAGAAAGAAATTGACCCAGGAGATTCCAAAGAGGTATACGTATGAAATGGCCCTGTGGGCTTAACGGAGCTTGGAAAATCGAACTTGGTGGCGCCAATCTGCACAACCATGTGAATTACTCTAGAAGTGCTGAAAAACCTGAAAGAAGAAATCCAGAAAGCAGAGGGGTGAGTTGAGTCATGACTTTTAGTTGTGTTGAAATACTTGGAAAAGGTAATGTCACCATTGGCAAACATGTGAATCCCATACCAGCCTGTCATTGGAACCACTGGCTCTGGGACTCTGGTCTTGTCAAAAGGCTCTGCAGCTTGCTCTTCTTTATCCTGCCTGGTGTAGTACCATGTTTGCACAATGGCACAGCCTCCCCAGACATTTCTGGATTTCTTTCCCTGAAATCTCATTGCAACATAACAGAGACAGACGGTACATTGGAAAGCTCTGAGGAGGAACATAAACTGTGACTTTTGTGGAGACAGAATGATACTGCTGAAGCATGGGGGCTAGTGCTACAGAGTCTGAGTACCTTTCAGGACTCCATGAGCCTAGCAATAAAATCCCTATTAATTTGAGAGATTCCGGACACAAGCTTTATGGTGTCCAGCATAAATCCAAATAAAATGCTACAATGGCTGGTGTGCTGGGTTTGGCTCCCTTGAGACTCCAGGGCCAAAGTTACAGGGCTAACAGGCCAACTCCTGTCTGGGCAAACTAAAGGCAGAACAGAAGTCAGGAAAGGAGACATTGTCTGAGGAGGCCACAGATTCAGGGAACAAATGCTTTGGCTAGAAGTTGAGATGGCAAGGAAGAAATGGAACAAGTTTTCCTAAAAAGGTACCCAATGAACCCCCTGGAGGCTTGCAGCTCAGCTGAAACTTAGCCAGGGCAGCTCTGAAGATTCCATTCAGACTTCCTCTAGAGAGCATACACGTTCTGCTGGGGAAAACAGGTCTCCTGTAGGCATTTCCCCATCTTACGCTGACCTTTTGGCCCGGGACTCAGACAAGTATGCATTCCCCTTAGAGGCTTCCAGGCTCATTTGGAGATCTGCTAAAAGGATATAGAGTGCCAGTTTGCATTCAGATAGCATGCACATGCCCAAAGCACTTGCCCATCCAGCATTTTAAGCAGACTAGTACGGTGTCAAAAGCACTATACTGGGAGTCAAGAGTCCTCGCCCTGCTACTTACTAGGAGTGTGACCTTAAGCAACACACTAAGCCACTCTGAACCTCAACTTTTAGCATGTATAAACTGAGGATAATAGTAGCGCTGGCCTAATAGAGTTGTTGGGAGGATTAAATAATAGTGCTTAGCATAGAGTCTGACTCATAATAAGCACTCATTAGCTGCCATCCTCATCCTCATCATCCTCATTTAACATATAAAGAACTTGAAGCATAGATTAGGCTTAAGCCTGGCTCTGACACTTATGAGTCATAAGACCTTGGGCAAGTCACATCACCTCCCTGAGCCATTTCTTTCTTCTCAGTTTAAGGTAGACTTGGCTGATCATACAAGATACTGTGTGTGAAAATTATACAGTACTTTTAAAATACTGTAGTATTCGTTTTCCTTTTCAGAGAGCATCATCTGTTTTTAAAGACAGGGAAAAGGACCTGAGAGGTAAAGGCATTTACCCAGTGAAGCAACAGCAAACCTGGAATGAGAACTCAAGGCCCTCTACTTGCAACCCAGGGCTCTTCCTAATTATATTCTCTGAGAGCAGTTTGGTCTTGTACTCAGAATAGTGTTTCACATGGTCCCAGCAGTGCGGGCTGTGCTGATGATGCGTGTGCTTCTGTGATGCTCACCAGCCAGAAGGCAGCAGTGCTGACTGGGCCCCTTGCAGGCAGATGTCAGAAGCCAGAACCTCAAGTTCTTTGTTTGCCCCTGTAGCAAGTGACTAGCATTCAAAAATAGCGAGTTTGGGCCATCTTCATACCCAAAATACTTTCTTCTCCCCACAACCACACAACCTTGGTGTATGAATCCCCATCATTCAAGCTTTGTTCCTTTTAAGCTTCAGACCTTGTTCAAAAGGTGAACTCCCTAGGACATGCATGCAATGCCTGCTACCAAGAATCAGCAATCAGAGCAACAGTATGAATGAAATTCTTCAGTGCTTTTTCTCTCTGGAAGCGGGAAAGAGGGAGATTTCAAGTACAGGACACTGCTCAGTCTTCCCGGATAGCTAGAACAAACTAGAGACACCAGGAAAGATATTATAAATGGAGAGAGGGGCACATAAAGAGTAGGTTGCAAAAGCAGCCCATCTCTATCCATTTTGAAAGTGCAGGAGCAGGACAGACGGAAGAGACATCCCTGGAATGGTGAAAAGAGCATCCGTTTAGAATGACAAGGTCAGACTTCCAATATTATGGCAAATTTCCTAACCTGTCTATGCCTCAGTTTCTTCACCTGTAAAATGGAGTGATCATGATCATAGTGATCATCGACCTTACCAGATAGTTCTAAGTGTAAGAAGAAAAACATGTGTGGGAACATGCTTATAAATCAATGCCCAGATCTAAGTGATCATCAAGGATTCAGTTAACTTCTCAGAGGAGGCTCGAGGTTGCAGTGACCTTGACAGCTAAATGGCCAGGTGAGATGCACCTGGCTTTCCTCCCATCCCCTTCTCTGCTAAGT